AAAAACCCCCTCGCTTTGGGGAAAAAAATGGTAAAAGGGCCCACCCGGGGGGGGGGTTTTTTTTTGGCCAAAGGGGGGCAAAAAAGATTTTTTGCCCCCCCTTTTTTTTCCCCCTTTGGTTTTTCCGGGGGGAAAACCAGTTTTAACCCCCCCCCCCCCCCCCCCCCCCGGTTTTCCTGGGCAGGCACCGCAACGTGAACGTGAACCAGAAGCGCTACGCCGTGGCCTCTGCCCTCGCCGCCACCGCCGTGCCGGCCCTCGTCATGGCCCGCGGACACCGCGTGGAAGAGGTGCCCGAGCTCCCGCTCGTGGTGGACACCTCCCTCGAGACGTGCTCCAAGACCGCCGCCGCTATGGCCACCCTCACCGCCCTCGGCGCCGCCGCTGAGGTGGAGAAGGTATGTATGTCCGCCGGACCGCCTTCTTGGCGAAGTATGTGAAGCTCATGAGGAAGTAGAACAATGGGGTACGCAAAGCTATAAACTTCCTCCGATTGCAGGCTTTTGTCCAACGTGTTCACTGCATCGATATTTGTAAACCTTGCCAAGGCTAAACGCAACCTTCTTCGTGTTGGTTCATCTTCGGATTCGGTTTGTGTGTTTTTGAAGTCTGCCTGCCCCTCTTCTTTTGCTTGTTCATCATGCGATTCTACAGGGGTTTCGGGCATGTTGGCATGTTTGCTGCTTTGACTGGTTGTTGGGGATCTGGCCCAATTGTTAGTGCTCTTCAAGTCGGACCTTGAACCTATGGCTTTTGGTAAAACGGGCACATGCTCTACCAGCGTGGTTTGACATGTGCTTCTTGTTTGGGTCTAGCGGGCGCAGCGGACAGTCTTGGCTGCTCGTTTTGCAGGTTGTTTGAGAACATCGTAGGGGGTGAAGAGCGCGTAAAATTCACGACCCGGTTCGAATGCATTGAATTGGGGCGGTGGGCATCTCTCTGAACTGGCTCTGAGTACTGTACCCGCCCGGCTAGATTTTTGTTTTGATCTTGAGCATCTTGCGGAGTGGTAGGTAGACCGAAGGCGAAACAACCCCGTGTGATGCACGAAGCAGGGTCATTTCGCGGACCATGCCTTCTTGGCCCGTACCAGTCGTGCTTGGAACGGCGTGTGTTCCATCACCCCGCGTTACCCTACCCTACCGCAAGAACAACTCTTGAGCGGCACGACCAGCGACTGAGGCGTTCGCAACCAATCAACAGCTATCCATCGATCAGCGTCCGGGATATATTATAGTGCGTGTGCCCGTTTTGCTCTTCCCATCTCTGGCTTTAGCCAACCTACGGCTTTCGGTAGACAAGCATACACGTACCTGTTTGAATCAGCCGGGGTAACACAGCTCTGACACACAACAGAAAAACACTCAACGCGCATGCACACAAGGTGCCAGATCTTCTTGTTGTCCTTGATAAGCAGGACACTGCTCTCTGTCGTCAAACCCCCGCGCCCCGCCTTTCGATAGAACGCTTTTATTCGAAAAGCGTGCTCGCGTTGTTTTCCGGCTACAACACTCGCGTCTCTTCATTTTCACTGGTCAGCCAGTTAGCGCGGTCGATCACAGCAACAATTTCGACTGAGGGTGTATCTCGAACGGGTAGTCTTTCTGTGAGGGTATGTTCACTTTCTAATAACAATATAAACCACACGCATGCACGCAGGCGAAGGACTCCAAGAAAATCCGCGCCGGCAAGGGCAAGATGAGGAACCGCCGCTACGTCATGCGCCGCGGGCCCCTCGTGATCTACGACAAGTCCGAGGGCATCAGCCGCGCTTTCCGCAACCTCCCCGGCGTGGAGACGGCTTGCGTCGACCGCCTCAACCTGCTCACCCTTGCCCCCGGAGGCCACATCGGGCGCTTCTGCGTCTGGACGCAGGTTTGTCAGGGTTGTGTTGGCAGGCGGTATGTTTTATATCTGGTCGTAGGTAGGTTGGCGGTGAGTATTTTTTTGGCCACGTTAGCATGTGCACTAGTGACGGCAGCTGTCAGAGGTCTTCTGGCGGAGAGGAGCCAATTGCTCGTGGTGAAGGGAAACGAAAGGAACCACCGCGATGTTTTGTACTTCAGCTCTCTTATGTCGAAGGAGCATGTCCGGCTGCATGCTGGAAAAGAATATCGTCGTTGAAGAAACTTTTTTCCCGTGACGTCTGTTCTTGAAGGCGGCGTTCGACAAGCTGGACTCAATCTACGGCACCTACACGGAGAAGTCGGACGTGAAGAGCAACTTCCAGCTGCCCCGTCACTGCATGACCAACACGGACCTCAACCGCATCATCAACTCGGACGAGGTCCGTATCGTCTATCAATAACATGATCGATTTTATCTTGACAAGTCATGCTGTGCTTAGCCTGGTCTACTGTAGTGTTGAGCTGTTGGGTCGTTTTCTTGGTGAGTTGGTTGTTGGCCAGGAATTGTTTCTCTTGGGCATGTGGCGGAGAATCCACACGGGTTATATACCTCGTTTCGGCGAAGAGTTACTGTCGTTTTTTGTGTGGTCTCTCGAAGGTGAACGCGTTGTGTGTCTAGTTTTCGCTCCCGTGAGCGGTGGCAAAGTTCTCAGCGCTTCTCCGTCTCTCGCTCGTTCTGGCTCCTCGGGACCAACGCCCAATGCTCCAAATTATTGCACTCGAACCCATCGAAAAATGGTGTGGTCTTTGCATGCCTCTCCACGTCCAACCTCCCACGCATAGCACTGCTGTTTGTCCTGTATCAAATTCATCGAACCCCCTACGCACTGCTTTTTTTTCCCGTGCGACAGATCCAGAGCGTGGTGAACGACCCCAAGCCCGAGGCCCAGGTGCGCCGCGTGGCCCGCAAGGTCAACCCCCTCAAGAACCGCGGCGTCATGCTCAGCCTCAACCCCCACCACGATGCCCGCATCGCCGCTCAGCAAGCCCAGCAGGCGTCCAACAAGGCGGGCCGCAAGGCCGTTCTCAAGGAGCGCCGTGGCCGCAAGACGGCGCGCAGGGCCTTCCACGCCAAGGCTAACCTCGAGGGCGACGTCAAGTTCTAAGCTTGGCATTTGGCTGTGGACGAGCTCTGCTGGTTGTTGTGCGGTTGCTCGTAGCGTCGAGTTTGTCCGAAGCTCTCCAATCGAAATGCGGGTTGGCAGGGAACAGAGGGGGCGATTTCTGGGTTGGGAAGTTGGACACGACTGGTGTGAGGGGGCTTTGGCTGATGCAGCGTCGTGCGTGTCTGATGCAAGCGTGACGTGTTGCTCTTTTTTGCTGCGCGTTCGCGTTGTGGCGGGGGGGGTTCGGAAGAGCTCTCGGTGCATGTGCTGACTGTGGGGTCGACAAGAAAATTCTATGAAAAAAACAACAAAGGGGTGTGTCGCGGTACTTCGGCGCTGTTACCGTTTGGTCATGCCTTGGCCTGTTTTACTCCGTTCTCGCGAAGGCAACGTTCTCCGAAACCAACCGTACAAACGAGCAGGGATGCTCCGCCGAATGTGAACCATCTCAAGAGCAGCGGGCTCGTCGACCTAGGCCCTAGCATCTGGCCTGACCTGTGCGCAGCATGAACAATGAATTGTGCCGACCATGTTTTCGTTTTTCACACACCACGTCAGTCCCATGATGACGAACTAGGCTCCTTCCGTAGACAATGTGGAAGGTCGAGGCAGCTTTCGCCTGCTGTCGAGAGCAGGGAGTCATATTTCTGATGCATATTTCTCGGTTGATATGCATATTCTATGCATACCCTCGGAGGAAAAGAGGTTGGGTAGGGCGGTGGCACAACAAGTGGTCCGCCTACCCATGGCTAGCGAAACAATGGAAATCAATTTATCCGTCAACTGTTTAACTCCGACGTGACTGACTCTTTTGTGTTTTGCCTCCTCGAGAACTGGCTCCTTGACGACTGCTTCAACATGTTGCGCAACAAACAATCGCAAAAGGTACTATTATTGTACGTATCCTAGTCTTTTCTTTTTTTCTGTCTTCACTTCAAATCAGCGCTCACAGTACTACGTAGTGCCGTTTACTCCAACCCGTGGTCACACAGAAGAGTCCCTCTCTACCCTCCCCTCCTGCGGTACTTTGCCTTCGTTTTTTAATGCGAGAAGAGTTCAGCACTCTCTTCCCTCTGTGTACACACGAACTAGCGCTTTCCACTAGGCCAGGAGCGGAAGCGAGAGAAAAACTCACTTTGCAAGAAAAGCTCGCTTACGCCGGGATTCGAACCCCTGACCTGACCACTAGAAGGTTTCGAGGATACCAACTAGACCACCGGGGCGACCGGCTACTAATCTACACGCGCACGAATCAGGTTGGTAGTGATGGAGCAGCAAGAGGCAGACGTCCATGTCATGACTTGCCATGTCGTTCTTCAGACCAAGGTAAGCGGAACTGTAACTGCTGTACGGTCACACGGGGATTGAGATGTAACAACAGGGAGGAGGAGCAACCGCTTTGCATCCCGAGCCCCAACAACACGACTACCGAGCATACCACACGCCCTCCGCCTGCGCAACCAACACGGGTGGGTGGTGCCCACCGTGCCTAACGGTGGTCCGGCACACACTTAGCATCAGCGGCTCTGGGGATTCACCGCACCACCAACGATTCTCTTCCCGTAATCTGTCTGGCGTCAAAGCGAGCAGTTATTATTCCATTCCCGTATTCTGGCTTCACCCCACCATCCGGCATAGCGTGGGCAACGTAGCGGGTGGTTTCGCGCAACGCTCACCTCCGGAGCGTATCTTTGACGCTCACCTCCGGAGCGTATCAATCTTTGCCGGGGAGGGGTTGAGATTGATAATGTTACCAAACCACCTAAACTCTGAAAATTCAGTTGTGGGTTGCTCTCGGTGTGTAGATGCGATATTCGGTCTCAGATTTTAAATCCGGGGTCGGGGAGGTGGGTTTTCAGCGAAACTTGGTGATTTGTCTTACCCGATGTATAGGGAAACGCATATCAGGGGACACGAACTTTCTGTCCCCCCCCCGGGGACAAAACGGGGATTTCCCCATATCTTGCCCATTTCATACGCTTGTTAGACCGCTGTTCCGGTAGAACAAACCCTACAGTTTTTGCACATTTTACTGGCCACTTCCCACCAGGGGAAACGAAATTTGTGTCCCCCCCCCGGGGACAAAACGGGGATTTGGCCATATTATTACTACCAAGAGTAAAGGGTAGCGCACAATTCTTGCAAACGTTGCGTTCGACACCACACCAGAAAAAGCAAGAAGAACAACAAACGTCGACGAGTTCCATTCTTTCTTGTGGTTGGCAGCCAACACATCCATCCATCCCTAGCCCACCTCCGGGAACCTCTTCTTCGCGATACGTACGCGACCTGTTGAGCTTACGTATTGCGCTTCCTCCCGCCCCCCCTCCTCCTCCACCCCCTCCTCCTCTTCCTCCTCCTCTCCCTCATCTTCCTTCTCCCCTCCCCCCCCCACCTCCGGCATGCTCTCGTCAAGCGTAGGCGCCACTGGGGACTCGTCCGAAGATATGACCGGAAGAATAACGCCGGTCAATTAAGTCCCAAGCGTGCGTCTCCCAGCCATCTCTTTTCCCGACTTCTCCATCACCTCGCCAACCAAGTCGGGGTACACCTTCGCTACCATGCAGTCATCGTAGCAGCCTTTTCGGCAAGTCGAGCAGTAGCACGATGCGCCCCGAACCCGCAACTTCCAAGATCTGGTGATTTTCTTGGGGGCGGCCCATTTCCTCGCCCTGGACTCGTCTACCACCCACTTCCCAACCGTCAACACCTTGTCTCCGGCTGCTCCCACCACAAAAAAATCGTCTGTCTGCACCCCCACACTCGTAGCCCACACAAGACTAAAGGTATTCTGCAACTCCTCCTGCTCCTCCTCTGTTCCCGTGAAAAAGTATAGCTTGGAACTTCCAGGGATCCCCGTCAGATCTATCGGTGGGCGAGGAATTTACTTGGGGCCAAACTTCCTGACCTTGAAGCTCTTGATCCGGTAAGGGGACCAGGTCGTGAAGTGGCCTTCACGCGCAACTCCGTTTCTTGCGCTCGTTGTACACGTAGCATCCCTCACTCGCAGCGATCTTGGGGGCGATGTCGTGGTTCGTGTTGTGCATCCGCTGCCGTGCGTCGCTGAAAGTCTCGTGCCGAATGCCGAGACTGTTGGCTCGCTCGGCAAGGCTCACTCCACCAGACTCAACGGGCTTGCACCGCTGGCCGGGGTGGCACACGTCCGTGTCAGTACACGTGTGCTCTCCCGCTCCGGCTGCTACAGCGAGCGCTGTCTGGTAAGTGGTCCACCCTATCGAGCTGTTGCAGTGCTGCTTCAGCGCTTGCAACGACGCGCGGAGTGCACGAGTGTTGGCCGCGTCGATCGCAGCCACCTTAGCTGCTGCCTGCTCTGCCGCGCCAGCATCAAGCATGGCCCGTACTCGCTCCATCAACACGGGGTCG